ATGAACCCACAGTTAAGGAAGGTGATAGAGATGATACACAAGCAAAGAAAACTGACAAGTAGTAGTCTGACAGGGAACCAGTGAACCAGGAAAGTAGCAGCACTATAAACCCAGGGAGATAATCTCTAGGAAGAATACGTGGTCAACAGTGTCAAATGTATCAGAGGAGGTGAGAAGCATGAGGACTGAGAAAAAGCCATGAGATCTGCTAGCTACTTAAGATATATATTTTATTGTATGTGTGTGTGTGTATATATATGTGTGTGTATATATATGTGTGTGTATATATATATATATACACATACATACATACATACATGTTAGAAAGAACAAATCTTGGCTCTGCCACCTACTAAAGGTGTAAGCTGAGTGACAAATGGCAAACCTTCATAAACCTCAGCTTCCTCACATATAAAATGAAGATAATGTGTTTTTTTAAATATCTATCCATCTACTTCAAAGACCTGTTTTGAGGAAAATAGCTTTATAAACAAGTCTTATTATTAAGCCAAAAAAGTTCCATGGAGAAAACCTCCATGGCCTGGAGAATCCATTGGTAGACTTGAGATCCTAGAGTTTTGGTTAAAAGGCTAAGAATTAACCCAAAAGTTTAAGTCCCGAGTTTTAGTCTCAATTCTGCCAGGAACTACTTCCTGATTGAGCTGAACCTCCTTAACTTCTTATAAAGGGGGGGAGGAGAGAATTGTGTCAAATTATCTTTAGGTCCTTCCTCTTCTGAAATATTATAGTTCTATCATTTCCCAAATATGCTTAGGTCTTTCTTTTTTTCATTCCAGACTTGTGATTTTGTCAGAGTGAGGAAGAGGTGTCAAATTCATAACCTGCTGGCTACATGTGGCTAGCAAAAATCCCAAGTGCAGCCAAACCAGATTAAAAGATAACTGGCAGGGATCTGTTTCTACTTGAGTTTGACACCACTAGTATAGGAGAAATTAAAAGTAATCAACAAGTATATACTAAACATCTACTTTGCCACAGGCATGGGAATACAAATGCAAAGTATGCAAAAATCCCTGTTCTCAAAGAAGCTTAAATTCTAATGGGGGAGACAAGTATATACATGAATATTTGCAGAATGAATGTAAAGAAAATACAATGTCCTGAGATACAAGTTGGTTTGGGAAGGACACTAGCAGTTGGAGAGGATCAGGAAAGGGTCTAAGTGGTGCATCAGCTGAATCTTCAAGAAAGAAAAAGACTCTATTAAGGGTGAGTGGAAGAGTGAGTACATTTCAGGCATGAAGGACAGTCATCAAATGAATGGAGATGAAAGATGATAATGGTGTGAAAACAGAGATGGTTAATTTGGATGTTAGAGTGCTTGAGGGAGAATAACGTTCAATGAAACGCGAAAGGCAGTTAAAGTCAAGTTGTAACAGCTTTAAAAGTTAAACAGAGGAATTCATATTTGATCTTAGAGGCAACAGAGAGCTGTTGATATTTAATGAGTAGGGAGTAATAGTTAAATCTGGGCTTAAGGAAAATCATTGGCAGCAGTGTGGAGGGTCCACTGGAGCAGGGGAAAGATTTAAAACAGGGAAATCAGTTAAGAAGCTGATATAATCAACCTCAAAGTAAGGGGTGATGAGGGCCTTAACCAAGGTAGTAATTGTGTTAATAGAAAGAAGGGGTTGGAAGTAAGAGGTGCTATGGATGTAAAAATGGAAATATTTGACAAATGATTAAAAATGTGGAGAAGTCCAGGATAATGCCAAAATTACAAACCTGGAAGACTGAAAAAAATGGTGATTCCTTTGTCAGAAATGGGGAAGTTTGCAAGAAGGGTAAAGTTTTTGGGGAAAGATAATGAGTTTTATTTAGGACACGCCAAGTTTGAGATATACCCAGGATAGCTAGTCTGAAATAACCAAAAGACAATTGGCTATGTGTGACTGAAGCTCTTAAGAGACAAAAAACACAACTCTCATTTTACCCTTTTATTTTCACTCTTTCCCTTTTGAAACTGGGATTTACCATCTCTACTTTATCACCAATTCGTTCCCTAATACCTCAGAATCTGAGTTCTGCCACCATCATTCTTGTAAAACCACCAAATCTAGCCTTGTAGTACAGGGGGCAAGAGCCTTAGATTTGGAGTCAACAGACCCTGGGGTTTAAATCTCAGTTCTGCCACTTAGTACACTATGGCCTTCATAAAGTCACTTAACCTTTCTGTGGGTATCAGTTTCAAGTGTTAAATGAAAGGGCTGGAATGAATGACCTTTAATGTCCCCTCCCTAATAGTTCAAAATCTGTGGTCCCCTGATATAATAAATTCCTTGAAAGCAGAGACTTTCATTTTGTTTTTGTATCTATTCCCAGAGATAGAAACCCTTAAGAAATTCTTAATAATTGATCCTATTGTTCATTCTCAACTTCTCTGAAAAATTACCCTGCCACCCATAATGACTCCTTGAAATTCTCAGAGCTAGAAGAAATCTTGAAGGTCTTCTTGTCCAAATCCCCCATTCTCTTAGATTCTATAATTCTATATTCTCCTTGTTTTCTTTCCTACTTCTGCTACTGCAATTTTCTTTATAAGCTCTTCTTTAAATGTAAGGATTTTCCAAGGTCTATCTTTAACTTTATTTTTTTCTATATACTTTCTCTCTGGTTAGCTTATTTCTTACACCCACGGTTTCAAATATCAATGCTATGGGAATGATCCCCAAATCTAAGATTCCCCTGGCCTTTCTGCCAAGCTCCAGATCCACATGTCTAACAGTCTGCTGGATCCTTCTAACTGGGGGGGAGGGGGGTGACTACTAACACTTCCCAACTCAACAATCCAGAACTAAACTCATTTTCTTGTCCAATCCCTATTTCTAACATCATCAGAAAACATCATTTAGGAGTCTGACACCATAAATCTCCCAGTTTACCATACTTAAAACCTGAAACATCTTTTGACTCCTTTCTCCTTCCTACCTTCCCCATTTTGGTCAGTTACCAAGTCCTGCTAATATTCTTCCACTTATATATATTTCTTGCATTGATCTCCATTACTAACACCAAAACTCAAGCCAACACCATATGCCTAGATCACTGTGACAGGCTTCAAACTGGTCAAAAATTCCAATGGTTGTCTAATGCCTATTAGACTAACCCTTCATTCAAGGCACCTATGGTCATTACTTCCTTAGAGCTGTCTTCCCTGGCTCTTCACTGCCTCTGCCCATCAAAATTCTACCCATGTTAAAATCACATTTCCTTCATGACTATGCTAGCTTACATTCATCTCTATTCTGATGCTGTTCAGCACATTCTCCATACCATGGATTCAGTACAGCAACAGTACAGCATTGAGGCTGGAGTGCTGTATTTGGAGTCAGTAAGATCTAGGTTTGAAATATGTCTTCTAGGTCATGGGTCACCAGAGCCCCAGGTTACTGATATACAGAAAAGATATAATAACTACTTCCACAGTTATTATAAAGATCAAATGAAATTGAAAATATAAAATATTTTATAAACCTTAAAGAACCATATAACCATAAGCTATTATTATTATTATATGGTCTTTTGTTACTCCTTAATTGTTTTATGTCATTGTATTTATCAGAAAGGCAAGTTCCTTATAAGTGATCCTTTACTATGGCACAAAAGATACCATATAGTGTTGAAAAGTTAAAAGTTCAGGGCCCCCATAATTAGTAGCCAAAGCTGCCACACAGGAATATGAATTCTCTCCCTCCCTTCAGAGTTCGGATTTGTAGACATCTGACAAGTGACTACTGGGGTCATGTTTTCCACAAGTTTAAAATGTCCACTTCTAAGGACCTCCTTCTAGGGTTTCATGGTATGTGCCTTTCACATATGAGAAGAGGGTAAGGTTTCCTTCACATACCAGCCTTTGGAAAATCCTCACTGGGGGCTGCAAAGGCACCTCCGAAGAGCTCCATTAGTACAATTCACTTCTAATGTGCTAAAGCCAGCTGTCTCAGTCCCATCCCCACATAAATAAGCAGAATCTAGTATTAGTTTTGAAATGTGGATTCATTTCCTGCTGGGGGTCATGATAACATTCCCTCATCGTGAAAATGCCCTTTCTTCCCAACTCTGCCAGTCCAATTCTAACCTTCCAATTCTAACTTCCAGACTCATTGTGAATTCTACCTCCTCACATTTCCCATTTCTGTATCTTTTAAAAGAGTTAATAATAATTTAAAAAAGAAAAGTTAAAGGTTTTATATAAGCATAAGGTATTACAGTAGGCTTGAAGTAAGAATGATCGAGAAATTTTTTCAGGCTGCTCTTTTTGGGTATTTAAAATAGAAAAACTTCGAGAAAACTAAATTCCACCTCTATGCCACCACAGATAACTATGGGAAATTAGAAAAGGATCAAACTGAAAACAGGCATAACTATGGTAATCAATAAAGTAGAATACATGGTATGCATCTAGTTGAGTTCTAACAGTTGTGTTCTAGGTCACTTCTTCCTGTTTTTTTTTATACACACACACACACACACACACACACACATACATATACAATGCTTATAATAGCATGTTCAAGTCATTTCCCGTTCTTTCCTACTCTTCTCCATCTTCATGCTTTTTTTGTTCCTAATTCCTACTACTATGCTAAACTCTATAGAGCCAAAAAGAAAAAACCAGATAATCTCGTTTCCCAAGAGGTTGTGCTCTTTCCTTCATTCTTTCCTTAGGACTGGGTTCGGTTTAACTCTCTCAGCTTTCCCCTTGTTGTTTTGGAAAGTCTTGTACTTTGTTATTCCCTGCAAATGCAGAGCCAGCTTTGCTCCCTTTATCGCCAGTGACAACACTCAACAGCTGAGAACAAGCCTAAGCAAGAGCACTCCCTATAAGCAAATCTACAATGACTGAGAACATTAAAGAATGTTAAGTACATGGTAAACATTTTGTTGGCCTAATGTTTTTTGAAAGAAATTTTAGCTTTCTAAATTCAAGTGCTCACATAGCCCATTTTAGAATTTTAAAAACCTTCAAAGAAACATACTTTTTAGGCTGAAACTTTTCTTCGTAAGAATCTTCTTCAACATACCCATCTAAAGGGTAGTATCCTTGTCTTCTATTTATAGTTGTAACTGCCTTTAACAAGAAAAAAAAAGTAGTTTTTAGTGGCAGTTCCTTTTTAATAACCTCAAAAATCACACAGTAAATTTTCATTCCTGAGATTGTAGAATATAAATCAGAAAGTAGAAATAATTTACAATACTGAATCCTAGATTAAAACTGCAAGGAATATATAATGATACATGTGGCACTTAGTAGGGGAAAGGAAAGGGAATAAGCATTTATACAACACCTTGTATGTACCAGACACTGAGCTAAGTGTTTTTACGAATATCATCTCATTTAATCCTCTCAACATTGCAAGGTAGATGCTATTATCCCCATTTTACAGTTGAGAATTAAGGCAAACAGATGTTAAGTGACTTGCCCAGGATCACACAGCTCCTAAATGTCTTAAGATGGATATGAATTCAAGACTTCCTGACACCAGGCTCAGATCCCTATCCACTGTGTCACCAGCTCCAACATATATTTGTTGAATTAACTGCTACGACATTTTAAAATGTCAAGGGAATAACAGGATTAGAACAATTAGAAACAAAAGGTTCCATTAAATACGATTCATATGTACCAGAATGTGGAAATTTTTAGCTCTTAGGAAAAGCAGGTATTTCTAAAGTCATATTACATCACAGAATCTAAGGGATCTAAAGAACTCATACTGCCTTGATGTACTGAATGTCTAGTTCTTTTATCTTCTGTACCATGACTCTGTAGCATCTTCTTCAAAGTTTTCCTACATACTTCAAGGAGATTGTTTCTTAAGGAATCACACTTTTTTCCCTCTTGGTTCTGCTTTACAATGATAATATGAGATGGCCTTGTGAAAGGACTCCCTGAACTTGTTTTCTTGAGTTGCTCTATCTTCCAAAGATGAATTCTCCCTGAACTTAACAGTAATCTTTTGCAACTGAACTCTATTAAACTCTCAGTGACTCTGAAAATGAATCAGCTACAATCTTGGCTCCTGACAGCCTAATTCTGACTGATAAAACTATGCAGCTGGGACCCCTTCAGATAAGCAGAATATCCTTCTCCATGGTCCAACATGCCCAAGTCTTCCTGCTCCCTTCCTCCTCCCATGCCACTCCCACTTCAGAAGGGACTGCCCTCCACTCTTGCCATGTGAACTCCCTTTCTGTGGTACCCCATAAATATCCAAGGCATTGTCTGTAGGGCGAAATCCTTGGTATAAAGAGTTCCCACATGCACGTGCCCTTTTGTGTGACTTTTGGTTAACCACCTCTATGTTAATACTTCTAGCATCTGGTTTCTTCACTTATCTTGGCCCACTGACTCAACTTATACATCTAATTAACTTTCCAAATTGAGTATATACTCTGAAAAATTACGTTATCAGACAAGAAAGATATAAGTAAAGCAGAAAGTCTAGAGCCTTATTATTAAAATTAAGCAAGTGGCTTTCATATAAGAATAGAACAGATGTGATTAAATCCTTAAAAAATCTGGTAGATTACATATAGGCTCATATAAACATCTTGGAGAAACGGGACAACCCTGTGAATCTACAAAGACCATTTTAAGTTTAAACTTGAAATAAGCAACCTAACTCTGAAATTTAAAAAAAAAAAAAAAAAAAAAGGCTGACAATTTATTCCAAGCAGGAGACATTGCTTGTGACCTTTAGGTTTTGTTTTGTTTTTTTTTTTTAATTCAGCAAGTAAAAATTCCTCAATGATTCCATATCTTTTAGGTCATTATAGAAGCTTAGAAGTAGAAAGGACCTAGAGGTCATCTAAGCCAACCTCCTACTTGAAGCACCATTCTCCTTTATGCTATCTACCCAAAGTAGTTGTCCAACCTCTTCTTGAATACCACCAAGGATGGCAAACTTGCTACCGAATGAGTCAGGTCATTTAATTTGGGGATAGTCCTAGATTTTTAGGGAATTCTTTTTTTATTAATTTATTTTAATTTATCAACAATCACTTCCATAAGCTTTTGAATTTTAAATTTTTCTCCCCCTCCCTCCTTCCCCAAGAAGGGCACACAATCTAATATAGGCTATATACACGCACACACACATATAAACATATACACACACACACATATATATATATATACATTCCTATTAAACATTGTTTTCACATTAGTGATGTTGTAAGTAAAAATTAGAACTAATAGGAGGAACCACCAGAAAGGGGAAACAAAACACAACAGAAGAAAAAAACAGCAAATAGTATGCTTTGATCTGCATTCAAACTCCATAGTTCTTTCTTTTTATGTGGATAGCATTTTCCATCATGAAGCTTTTGGAGATGTCTTAGATCCTTGTATTGCTGAGAAAGGTTAAGCCTATCAAAGTCAGTCATCACTCAATGTGGTGGTTACTGTGTACAACATTCTCCTGGTTCTGCTCACTTCACTCAGCATCAAACCATACAAGTCTTTCCTGGTTTATCTGAAGTCTGCTTGCTCATCATTTCTTATCGCACAACAGTATTCCATTACATTCATATCACATTCATAATGATGATTACTATCTGTGTCTTTCTCTCCATCCTTTCCCCCCCCATTTATGCTTTTCTTTCTCCTTTTCCCTCCTCACTAATGTTTTGCTTTTGACCACTGCCTCCTTCAGTTCCACCTCCCTTCTATTAGCCCCCTCCCTTTTCTTTACCCTTTTCCCTCCTACTGCCTATAGGGTATGTTAGATTTTTATACTAACTGATATGTTATTCTTTTCTTGAGCCAAATCTGATGAGAGTAAGGTTCAAACAATGCTCACCTCCCTCCCTTCTTTCCCTCTGCTGTAATAGGTTTTTGTGCCTTTTCCTGTAATGTAATTTACCCTTGTCTGTCGCCTCCTTTCCTTTTCTCTCAGTACATTTTCTTAGTTAGATCAGATTAATTCACTTACTTGGATAGATTTAACCCACTTGATTAGATTTGCTTCATCATTACATCAAAGTCAATTTATACCCACCCCCTTTATGTATACCCCTTTAACATGGTGTAATAACAGTACAGTTCTCAAGAGTTACAAGTGTCATCTTCCCTTGTAGGGATGTAAACAGTTTGCCCTCATTAATAACATGTTTCTTTCTGTCCCGTTTACCTTTTTATGTCTCTCCTGAGTCTTGTATTTGAAGATCTAACTCAGACTCCTAATACTATATAGCAGAACTGAAATGAATGGCACTTTTTTCAGTCTTCACTGCTTTACTCAACAATGTCCAATTAGCTAATGTAACAAATGCAGTATCTTAAAGTATTAAACCACATTTCACATAATTTCAGAGTTGACCTCAAAGACCATCTATTAGAACTCATAACAAAAAAAGAATCCCTTCCACAAAAATCAAAGTGGTTATTCAGCTTTGCTTGAAAACCTCACACAAAGAGGGAAATCTATAGCTTCCTCAGGCAGCCTATTCCACTTTAGGATAGTTCTGATTTTCTGGAAGGTTCTCCTTACATCAAGTCTAAATCTGTCTCTATGAGATCAAAGAAAGAGGAAAAGTACTCATATGTACAAAAATACCTGTATCAACTCTTTGGTTAAAGAAAAGAATTAGAAACTAAGGAGGCACCAATAAATTGGTAAACAACTGAACAAATTAGGGTATATGAATGTAGAATATTACTGTCTGATAAGAAATAAAAAAGAGGCTGTTTTCAGAAAAACCTGGAAAAGCATGCATGAAGTGATGAAAGAGTGAAGTGAAAAGAACTAGGAGAACAATTTATACAATAATATTGTAAAAACAAGTAAATCTGAAAGACTTAACCCTGCTCATTGTGGCAACTTGCAACCATGATTTCAGATGGCTAACAATGCAAAATGCTACCCACCTCCTAAAAATGATGGAGTAGAGATGAAGATTTATATTTTGGTACACAGCAAATGTGGGAACGTGCTTTGCTTAACTGTGCATATTTGTTACAAGGGCTTTGCCTCCCCAATGTTAGGCGTGGAGAGAATGTTAGTATAGCCCCTCCCCCACAAGGAAAGAGTCATGCACTTTTTTTTCTATGCACTTTTAAAAAGTGCATAGAAGACAACAGAAGGAAAGCTAGAAAGAATCAAGGATCAGAAAGATAGCTTTGAAAATTATACGTAGAATATATTTAGTTCAAAAAGAAAAGCAAGCTATACAGAATAGACTCACAAACTGTACAGAACAGACTTGCAATTTCAGGTAAAATTATCTTTTTCTGTTCCACTATATATGTGGAAATGCTGATGATTTAGTGTTTTGTTCTGTTTTTTAAAGTTCAGAATTTTTATAAAATTTAAATTTAAAAAAAAATCTGTCTCTTTGTACCTTCCACCCACTACTCTTAGTTCTGCCTTCTGGGACCAAGGAGAATAAACAAATACTCCATGACATCTACTGTGCCTCTAAATGTCTTCTCTTCTACAAGCTAAACACCTCTATTCCTTTGTCAGAATCTAACAAAAGACCCTTCACCACCCTAGCGGCCCCACTTTGCCATGCAGAACTAAGACAATACCCTGGATGTGGCCCATGGCACAGTAGTGGCTTCTTCCTAAAAGCTATACCTCTAAATACAACCTAACATTATATCTGCAATCTAGGCTGCCAATCATCAATGATGCTGACTTATCAAGCTTGTAGCACACTAAAATCACGATCTTTTTGAGAGTGAATGCCACCTAGTCTTCCACCACCTGGTATTCATTAATATGTGATCAAATGAGATGACCACACATAAAGCTTGGAAAACCTGTAAGTGCTACATAAATACTAGATGTCATCTGAACTTAAGTGCAAAACCCAACTTGACATTTACATTTCATGTTATTTAATTCAGTCCAATGAAAGTTTCTCAAAATCTTTAGGAAACTATCATCCAATGTCTTAGCTGTATGCCCCAGCTTTGCATCATCTACAAACTAAATAAGCATGCCTTATTTATACCTTTAAGTACCTGCCATTCAATGGCAAGATCAAGCCCAGGTCTGGGGCCACTCCACCTTGTTCCAAGTTGATATCAAACCATTAATAACTGTACTTTGGGTCCAACCATTCAGTTAGTTTAAAATGCATTTAACTGTAGTATCACATAGATGTGCTATATGCTCTCCCTCCATATTTTCCAAAAGAAAAGCATGAGAAACTTTATCAACTGCTCTGCTCACTTGTTGTGCATGCTTATGGGCCAATATATTTCCGTATTATTACATTGTCTTTGTTTCAGACTTAGAATTGTCTGGCTTCTTTCAGTTTCATTTTACTTCCAATCACTAACTTGGATGTCCCTAGATGCCTAGGTTTTCCATAACACACCAGGAGGAAGGAGAAGAAAAAAACTTTTTAGTGTAAAAGTGTTTGTGAAGAGGATAAGAGTTTGAAAGGGACTGTTTGATGAAGATTATGAAGACAGAAGAGAAAAGGAAGATCAGGATGAGGAAAAGAAAAGGCAAAGAAAGAAGGAGAAAAAGGATGCAGAACAGCGTTATGTGATTCTTAGCTCACAACTCAAACAAGATCTCAAAAGCATCAATACCTATAAGGTATGAAATATTAAGCATTATTTTAGCAAGGTAGAGCTTGTGACATATACCCTTCTCCCTTCATTTAGAATATCTGGTGAATCTGGTATTTTGGTTGTCATTTCACTGATGTAAGTGTTCTACCCAATAAATGAGACCTTCTTTTACTATCCCTATAACTGATGTGCTAGTTCAGCTATTATTTCATTCTCTATACATGACAGGAAAAGGCAATGGGTTGATCACAGAGATCTTTATGTTTATGCCACTTCTTATACTCAAGTTGTATCTAGACAAGATGCACACTCCCTGCATCTAGTGAATGTTATCAATTACCATTTCAGTATTCTGTATTTATAATTTCCAAATAACTTGTGAAAGTGGTGGGGAAAACCTTAAATATAAGTCACTTTTGTGAAGACTCAAGATTTATTAAAAATTCAAATATTCTTCACCACGAAAAATGAAAAATGAAAAATGAATGTTACAAAATTACTTCAAAGAGGTGGGGCTAGGTGGGGCAGTGGATAGAGCACCGGGCCCGAAGTCAGGAGGACCTGAGTTCACATCTGGCCTCAGACCAAACACTTGACACTTACTAGCTGTGTGACCTTGGGCAAGTCACTTAACGCCAATTGCCTCACTAAAAAGAAAGAAAGAAAAAAGAAAAAGAAGTACTTCAAAGAACAGATGACAATTCCCCCCAATTTGTCAAAGATAGATGGGTGTGCATGGGTGTGGACCATTTTATGTACATAATTTTTTTTAAAAAATATTTATCAGTTTTGCCGATTTTTTTTCTAAAAAACAAAAAACAACACATCCTTTGTTAAATGGGTTGGCTCTCTGAGAAGGGAAAGGATACAACTTGGAAATGGAAAAAACAAAAGATACCGATTTAAAAATTTTTTTAATTGAAGTGTCTTATAAATGGTAATTACAGGGATGGCAACCTGTATTGGGAGAAATGGTAAAAAGATCTAGTTTTTCCTATTTCTCTATAGTCTATATATTTAAAAACAAGAGCCAGAATTATATTTAACAGGGATAGACTAAAGTACTTTTTTTTTTTGCCTAGGCAATGGGGTTAAGTGACTTGCCCAAGGTCACACAGCTGGTAAGTGTTATGTGTCTGAGGCCTAAGCCGGTACTCTATTCACTGTGCCACCTAGCTGCCCCTCAAAATACTTTCTAATAACCTCAGAAGTAAAGCAAAGCTGTCCATTTGTAACCACTTCTTTATGACACAGTAGGAGAAATGCAAACTATAGCAATAACCTGAAAAAGAAATTTAATGAATAAGCACTGGTGAAGGCAAAACAAAATTATCCTTTTGTGTAAATGCAAGGGTGCATCTAGAAAACCCTAGAGAGACGTCAAGTAAAAATTGAAATAACTTCAGCAAAGTCCCAGATTAAAAAAAACAAAACAAAATCATAAATTATCAGCATTTCTGTATGATATCAATAAAACTCAGCAGGAAGAAAAAGAGAAATTTCATTTAAAATTACTCCAGAATGGACAAAATACTTGGGAATCTACCTATCAAGACACATACAAGAACTATATGAATACAAGTATTAAAGACTATTTACAGAAATACAGTCTGAAATAATTGGAGAAATATTAATTGCTCATCAGTAGAGACTGATCTAAAAAAATAAAAATGGCAATACAACCTAAATTAATTATTCAGTGCCATAATAAATTACCAAAAGATTACTTTATAGAACTAGAAAAAATAATGAAATTCATCTGGAGAAATAAAAGGTCAAAAATCTCAAAGGAAATAATGAAAAAAAAGGGGGAAAGCCAACCATACTATAAAGCATTAATCAAAAACAATTTGGTACTAGTTAAAAAACAGGTCATCAAGGAACAGATTAGGCACAGATAATACAGAAGCAAAAGTACTTAGCCTAGGGTTTGATAAACCCCAATTACTGGGGTAGGGACTCACTATTAGAGAGCAGGGTGACAGAAATTAGGTTTACCCCATATACCAAGATAAGTTTCAACTGATATATGACTTAGATATAAAAGATATCATAAAACAAATTTATACAATATTGTGAAATGAACAGTTCTGAAAACTCAAGAACTCTGATCACCACAAGGATCAATTATAATTCTAGAAGAATGATGATCACTGCCTGCCCAATGGCAGAGAAGTGATAGACTAATATGCAGAATAACACCCATATTTCTGAACATAGGCAATGTCGGGAATTATTTTGCTTAGCTAAGCTTATTTGTTGAGTCTTCTCTATTTTTCCCCTGGGAGTGGAGGGGAATGAATGGGTGGAGAGAAAAAATACCTGATAATTCGGGGAAAAATTCTTTTATTATATGGATAGGTTGGGCTCTCTGAGAGAAAGGAAGGTATACAATTAGGCGATAAAAAAATAAAAACTCAAATGCATAAATATTAGTTGCTGACAGGAATTAAAGTTTCCTCATCCTAAACTTCCCTATGCCAATGAAAACATCATGGGTTCAGTTCCTATCCCCTCTCCTATCCATAGTAAAGTTATGTTGTTTTGTTTTCTTTTACTTTTTACTTAGATGTAACAAACTAATGTATTTCTGGTAAAAGATTTAGGATTATCTAGAGAAACAACAAAAAACACCTTACCTCACAATCAGGACATACAACTGTGCTATATTCTTCAGTTACTGACAAGCATAATTCACAATAAGCATGTCCACACTGAAGCTCATGATGGTGACCTGATGATGAAATTAATTCTATGAATTAACCATATTTGTACAATTTGTTAACTTTTTGTTTTTCTAATCTTAAAATCATTAATTCAATAAGCACTCAAGGAACACCTATTATTGTGTAAAACACTGGACTATCAAATGTAAAATTTCACCACAGAATAGATTTCCTTTTTTATAAACTAAGTTTTAAAAAATAAGAGGTACTAGTATGGTATAGTGAACAGAGCTCACCCCGGAGACAGGAAGACCCAGGTGTGACTCTGAGGAAGGCACCTAACCTCTCAGTGCTCTAGGTAACTCTCTTAAGTTACAGACTTGCAGTGACAGAAGGAATTCCCTATATTTATGAATTCCAAGTTTACTCTATAATCCTAATCCTAATCAAATCTTATATTTTCAGAAGTAGTTATAAACCTAACTCAATATAAAATGGCACATAACATTTAAATATTGGAAGTAAAATGAGAAACTGTTAAAACAATATGGTTGTCTCAGTCCTGCAATTTAAAAGTATTAGTTAAATATATAAGTAAACTTTGTAGAGTTTTAGGTAGGTAACAGAAAAAAAATTATATAAATTATGGCTACCTCTCACTTGTAGCCCTGGAAAGCTATAGGTATCCTGCTGAAAAAAAAAAAAAATACAGTAGCTACATGATTTACCAATAAGACTGAAATTAGGTCAGTGAGAAAGTTTTTTTTTTTAAACTGTATAAATTTATTTCTAAAGTCTTACTTGGGTTCCAATGGGAAAAAAACCTTAATAAATTAAGATCTTCCAACTGTAAGTATCTACCAAAGCAGTGATATTTGGTTATTACTAAATTTCTTGCAGAGTACTGAATAGGTGGCAATTCTATGGTACAACTTTATAGCTCTAATTTACTTAAAGTGCTGTACTAAATAACTTACTGACTGATGAAGGCAGAGGCAAAACTGGGCATACGTCCTATCCAGGTCACCTGCACAGTTTACTTAAACTCCTCTTCTACCTCACATCCCACATCTTTTTTAAAAAAGCAAGCAACTGAAAAATATCCATGCCCCACAAAAGCAACATCCTACTGAAAATACAACCAAGCCTTTGCACAATTTTCCTCAACTGGTCCAACTTTTAAGGAATTTTCAAATTCTGGCAGGAAATACAGCATATGACAAGAAAGGCTATCCCACTGTAACGAAAGAGTAAACCATCAGTCAAAACTGAGCATGAGCTGAATGTCAACAATTGCTTGTTATTCAGTACAAAGCAAATTCTAAGAGAGTTATAGTAAGAAGGGACATGAAATCATGTTGCAGGTTGAGCAAACTCTTAAGGGAAGAACAAGTCAAAGAAAGAATATGGGGGAATCTGGTTTAACACTGACTCAGGCCAGTACAATATAAGATTTAACACATCAAATGGGGATTAGGATATGCTTTTTAAGTATTACAAGTGGCTGTGCTTCACTAACCAAAATGGTTGAGGTATCATTATGTCTTGATTTCAACATATTAGAGCAACATTCTGGAAAACACACGTTACTTGTAAGGGAATGTATAATGCTATCCTAAGTGGGCAAAAAGATTTGCAAAAGCACTTTAATTCATTATTTCCTTTGTTCCTCACAACCACCCTACGAAAAAGGTGCTGTTACAGTCGCTCCTATTTTGTAGGGAGGCTCTGAGGCACTTCACCCATGAATCATCAGAGGGAGGGCAGGAGCTGGCAGAAGGATACTCAGGTCTTTCTAATGGCTACACAAATATGTGTGGTTGGAAGGGAGCCTGGTCTTGCAAACAGGAAATGTTCTATAAACTATTACACTGAATGCAAAATTGTCCCTTTAGAGGCACATCTATGTCATCAATCTTAACTAAATTTTCACAACTCGGTGTCAACTTGGAAACTATCTCAAGAAAACGAATTGGACATCTCCAAAAAAGAAAAGAAAAAAATGACCTCAGGACCATTTTGTCACTGTGGATAGCCCTGTAGAAGACAGACCCTTGGCTTTGGATTGGGGACCTCGGTTCTTATCCTGGACTCTGCCACTTATGACCTGAATGACTTGGTCACTTCTTGACCTCAGTTTCCACATCTGTACAATAAAGGGGCTGAAAACCTCAGAGGTTGCTTCCACCCCTAAATCTAGGGTCTGAAGACCCAGGGAATTCACTGAGGGGAAGGCAGGGGGGATGGGAGAGGAAGCAGAGAGAAAAGGAGACGGAAAAAGAGAGAAGGGTAGGAGAGGGGGAAGGGGATGTGAGGAAGAGGGAGGAAAAGGGTGAGGAAGGGGGAAGGGGAGGAGGAAGCAGAGAGGGAAAAGGAAGAATGATGCTGACAAAATCCACTACAGAGGAAGGGGGGGAGGGGAAGGGCTGGTCGCCGAGGTAGCCAGGGACCCTCCAAGCCTGCCCCAATCCCTCTCCTCTCCCTTCCTCCCCACCGAGAGAGGCTGCCTCCTGAGGGGGGCAGGGGTTGGACAGGGAGAAGAGCTGACAGCGGCCAACGCCTCAGTCCAAGGCCGTATAGGGGCCTCCTCCCTGCCTCACACCACCACTGGAGTCTCCCAGGGCGAAGCGGGCCTGAGGGCTGGGGCTCGACCAAGGGACTCCCTACCCGCCGTGGTCACGGAACTCCTTCCACACCCGCTGCACAGGACCTCAGTGGGGCCCCAGAGCCGGCTCTTCCGCCTGGGAAGCCGGTGAGGAGGAGATGAAGAGGAGGCCTTAGGAAGCCGAGCCTTCGAGGAAGCCACGCCAGCCATCGCACCCGCTGCAGCTCCCGTCGGCGCTACCGCAGCCGCCATCTTGTCCACGCAGCTCCGCAGCACGTGCGGCCTTGCAGACTTCGTGCGTCTCCCCGGCCGGCGGGCCAATCAGGGCACGGGGGGAGGGTTCTCTGTTCAGCCAATCACTGGAAGCGGAAGGAAATTAGTCGTACTAGGGCTCTTCGCTTTATTAAATTCACTTGAGCTGCTTCTGCTAACGAGCGCTTACAAGGCTGCACATGTGAGATGAGGCTGCAATTATGAGAACAGAGGTCACTGATCCCCAGCTGGAGCTGCAGGACGGTGGAGTTTTGGAAGGGAGGGACAGGAGTGTGAAAGTGGCTTTACTCAAGTTTCATATCCGGGCACTCAGCTGCTAGGTGACCATGGGCAACCCACTTGACTTAGATTTCTCCATCTACAAAATTATTATTATTGTATTATTATACAGTGGTACACCCTGAAGTTTTGAGGTTCGGATGAGATAAGGTGCTTTGCAAACTTTGCTTAGTTCAGCTGTTTACCAGAGCACTGAGCTAAGAGAAGTGTTGGTAATGGGGGCCATCCATGGTAGCTTTTGGAAAAAAATGTTAATTTGATCATAAGTGAAGGGATATTCATCACAGCCTTTATACTGGCGGCCCTTCCTGTCTGCAATGCTCTCCCTCCTCAGTTCCAACCCTTCCAATCCCTTGTTTCCATCAGAACTCAGCTCTACACCTACAATTCCTCATTAATTCTTTCCTAACCTAACCTCAACACAGCAGCTAGTGCCCATTTTGTATTTACTTTGATATGCACATATTGTCTCCCCCAAAAGAATGGAAGCCCGTTAACTCAGTCAATTAGTATTTATTAAGTACCTGGTATGTATCACAGAACTGTACTAAGCCCTGTGGACGGACACAAAGAAACGCAAAAGATGGTTCCTGCTCCCAAGGAGCTCAAAATCTAATGGGGGAGACAACATGCAAACAACTGTGAAGCTTTAAAAAGATAGATATGGATAGGGCAGAAAGATTTCATTTTGACTTTGTATTTATCTCCGGACCCTAGCAAGGTGCTTGATTGACTGATAGATCACAGCAGTCATTCTATTACTATGTGAAAAACACCTGTGGAAATCCAAAAATCAGTACAAAATTATACCACCTGTTATAAATGAGTAGCCAACATATATAGGGAAACAGGGTAATGTCATTGTGTGGTACTGGCGACTAACCTAAATAAAACCAGAGTCGAAGTCAGAGTGCAGAAAGAGTTTTATTCTTTCTCGTGAGAAAGGGCACAGCCCTCTTCGTTCAAATGCCGGCAGTCAGGGGAGTGCAAAGTCTGTTAGTGGGGAACAAAGTTTTATAGTCCTAACGAGATATCTCCTCCCCGTTCCTGAACCCTTCTTCCCATTGGCTGGGTTTCAGGGTGCACAATCTAAACCGCGGCTTCCTAAGACCCTTATTTGGAAATATTTGCCTAGAGACAAAGAATCAGGAGGACTTTTGATAACCATTTAGAAGTTCTGCTTAAAGACAAAGAATCAGGGAGACTTTTGATGACCATTTAGAAGTTCTGCCTAAAGACAGATAAGCAGGAAGCCTCTGGAGGTCAGGCTAGCAGTCTTTAGCAATGTTTATCTTGCTAGAGGAGATGGAACACAGGTCAGCTCTTGCTTCTTTGGGAGTACAAAGGGAATTTATGAGTTTTAGTACTGAGGAAACTTCATCCATCTCACTCAGTGATATATACATATTTTTTTTTTTTTATCTTTCCCTCCCCCTTGCCTATTTCGTTGATTGAAGGAAGCAGGATTTTGGTTGAAACCTAATGCTGCCACTTACTACCACTGTAATCTTGGCAAGTAATTTCACCTTATAGGCCTCAGTTTCCTCATCTTTAAAAGTGGGGAGACAGCAAACTAGATGATCTCTGAGCCCCTATTAATTCTAAATCATATGAACTTATGATACACCAAACGACAAATGAGTTGGGGAATGCATTAATATATTGATATAATGAATTATTCTATATTCTATGTATGTTACACATTATACATAGAAATATATAATATAAATTTATACACTATAATTAGTAAATGTTATAGTATATAATTATATTGCAGTATATGATTACATAAAATATGTGAATTTACATAATCATGTTATAGAAATAATAAACAAATGTGATGTGATAATTAATATAATAATTAAACTCCTGATTTAGGAGTTCATAGGAGAAAAAAGTGAATGGGTGACTGTGGCATCAAGGAACGCTTCACAAAAGAGTTGGGACTTGAGCCACTGTTTGAGGCTTAGGAAATACTTCGTTAAAAGACAAACAGATCCCCAGCTTCTGGGATAAGAACTCACTATTTGATAAAAACTGCTGGGAAAACTGGAAAATGGTAAAGCAGAAACTGGGCATAGACCAACATCTTATACCACATACCAAAATAAAGTAAAAATGGGTACATGATTTCGATATAAAAGCTATATATAAGCAAACTGGGAGAGCAAGGAATAGTTTACCTGTCAGATTTATGGAGAACAGAAGAATTTATGACCAAACAAGAGATAGAGAACATTATGAAATGCAAAATGGATAATTTTGATTACATTAAATCCAAAAGTGTTTGCACAAAGCCAGTGCAACCAAAATTAGGAGGGAAGCAGAAAACTGGGAAAGAATTTTTACAACCAGTGTCTCTGATAAGGGCATCATTTCTAAAATATATAGAGCACTAAGTCAAATTTATAAGAATACAAGTCATTCCCCAATTGATAAATGGTCAAAGGATATGAACAGGCAATTTTCAGATGGAGAAATTAAAGCTATCTATAGTCATATGAAAAAATACTTTAAATCACTATTGAATAGAAAAATACAAATCAAAACAACTTTGAGGTACCATATTACACCTATCAGAGTGGCCAACATGACAAAACAGGAAAATGATAGATGTTGGAGAAGATGTGGGAAAATTGGAATACTAATGCATTGTTAGTGGAGTTGTGAACTTATCCAACCATTGTGGAGAGCAATTTGGAACTGTGTCCAAAGTGCTATAAAAATGTGCATACCCTTTGACCCAGTAATAGCACTTCTAGGGCTGTATCCCAAAGAGATAATACAAATGGGAAAAGGACCCACATGTACAAAAATATTTACAGCAACTCTTTCTGTAGTGGCAAAGAATTGGAAATTGAAGGGGTGCCTATCAATTGGGGAGTGGCTGAACAAGTTGTGTTATATGAATGTAATGGAATACTATTGTGCTATGAGAAATGATGAGCAGGCAGACTTCAGAAAAATCTGGAAAGACTTGTATGGACTGATGCTGAACGAAGTGAGCAGAACCCAGAGAACATAGTACACAGCAATAGCAACATTGTGCGATGACTAACTTTGATAGACTTAGCTCCTCTTAGCTATGCAAGTATCTAAGACATCTCCAAAAGACTCTTGCTGGAAAATGCTATCCCTATCCAGAGAAAGAACTATGGATCCTGAATGCAAATTGAAGCATACTATTTACTCTTTTTTTTTGTTCTGTTTTGTTTCTTCTTTCTTGTGGTTCCTCCTATTGTTTCTAATTCTTCTATACAACATGATTGATGTGAAAATATGTTTAATAGGAATGCATATGTAGAGCCTATATCAGATTGCATGCCATCTTGGGGAGGGAGGAGAAGAAGGAAGGGGAGAAAATTTAAAACTCAAAATCTTATAGAAGTGAATGTTGAAAACTAAAAATAAATAATTTTTTAAAAAGAAAAAAAAAAGACAAACAGATATAATAAAAGAGGATGGGAGAGCAGGTTATTTAAAGTTGGCAAAGGGGAGAACATAATTGACTTGTTTAGGGATCGGTGACCAGATCAGTTGCTCCTAGATGAGACTTGAAAGATATAAAATTGTAGAAGTAGGTTGAGGCCAAATTGTGGATGTCTTTGAAATACAAGGCTAAGAAGTATGGACTATCCTATAATGAGGAGCTGTCAAATATTCTTGAGTTGTTGTGAAAATGTGTAAAGGAAGGGGCAGCTAGGTGGTACAGTGGATACAGCATAGTCCCTGAAGTCAGGAGGACCTGAGTTCAAATCTGGACTCAGACCAAACACTTAACACTTACTAGCTGTGTGACCCTGGGCAAGTCACTTAACCCCAATTGCCTAAAAAATAAAAATAAATTAATTAATTAAAAAAAAAAAAGAAAATGTATAAAGGAAGTTGGGGCAGGGAACTTGAGAACCAAAGACTAAGGGAGAGGCCGTACCTGAAGAGCAAAGAGACACGGAGACATGTTCAGGAGAAACAAACTTTGACCTTAACCTTTACTGCTGCTGTGAATCAATCATAGGGACTTTGCAAATCCAAAGGGTGGGTGTTGACAATTTAATGACGCTTAGTTCTCTCTACATTTGGGCAGGGTTGAATCCCACTGTGTACTATTGAGAAAGTGAAGCTAAGCATATAGATAGATTCTTTGACTCTCTGGTAACCCTGAGATCTTTCCTCATGCAGGGAGAGGGGATGGGTTCCTAAAAAATACTTAGGATGGGGGAGCTCAGTGTCAGGGGGTCACTAGAAGTATGAAGTTAAGTATAGGTTCCTGGAAGAGGTAGAGTACATGAGAGGGTCAAGTGTTCTGGATTATCTATGAGTTCTTTTAGTGTTTGTTGCTGTAGATAATATCTAATTTATTTTTTGTTTCATGCTTTGGTAGCTTTAGCTGCTTGCAACGGAATCGAATACTCCTATGGGATAGTGTTCTTTGCTGTAAAAAGTATCTAATATCTCCTATGGAAGAACAAAGATTAGCCACATATAGATTTCCCTAGAGGAAACTTGAGTAGGGGCAAAAGCCAAAGAATTGTGATTGAGAAGCCTTCAAAATTCATCCTGGGTCTATGTCAGGCTCAGAGCTGTTTATCAGCAGTACATTGAGCTATATCAGATTGCATGCCATCTTGGGGAGGGAGGAGAAGAAGGAAGGGGAGAAAATTTAAAACTCAAAATCTTATAGAAGTGAATGTTGAAAACTAAAAATAAATAAATAATTTTTTAAAAAGAAAAAAAAAGACAAACAGATATAATAAAAGAGGATGGGAGAGCAGGTTATTTAAAGTTGGCAAAGGGGAGAACATAATTGACTTGTTTAGGGATCGGTGACCAGATCAGTTGCTCCTAGATGAGACTTGAAAGATATAAAATTGTAGAAGTAGGTTGAGGCCAAATTGTGGATGTCTTTGAAATACAAGGCTAAGAAGTATGGACTATCCTATAATGAGGAGCTGTC